CGACCGACGACCTCGCTTTCACCTGGCCCGTCTTTGAAACTGAGCGTCGAAGAAACCGGCAAAACGTGATAGCAGTGGCCACGTCGACAGACGTACTTAAAGAACAATAGTCGTCTTCACATTTACATTAAATCTATTTCGGGAGTACACGGTATAGCATTGCCGATGAAAGTACTTTCAGGTCAATAAATTTTTCTACCGTTGGGATATGAACCGCCAGAAATCTGGATATGAAAGATCATCACCAGTTCAGAGATGTACACAGTCATCGTTAGAGAATATCTAGACTACAAGATCTAAACTCTTCTTCAGGAAAAGAACTTTCCAGAATACTTGTCATATTAAACAATAAGCTGGTGTTTTACATTGATAATTACGTAGGTAGCCTTCCCCTCAGAGTTACTGCCAGTATTGCCGTATTTTCCTTTATTCTCTAGCCCGGCATCATTAATGGTACTCAAACCTGTCTTATGCAAAACTGCAACATTGACAATTTCAAGTTAATCATCTGTACCTCATAACGATACAGATATGAGGTTGGTTTCCCTGATCATAACTGACCACGGACTAAGTCTTTTTCTGAATCTGCAAAGACTGCATCCAGCAACAACCAGCACAACCAAATAACTCCTGTACTTTGTAGAAGATATGTGAAATGCAGGCAGTCTCGTCAATAGCGTTTCATCGCCGTGATCAGTCGCTATGTAGCATCATAGCAATTAAACCATTTTGCTGCATTTTCAACATGAATATACAGTATTCAACTATGAGGCCCACAACGAGCAACCTGACTAGTAGTGGAGTATTTAATACCTCTCTGTGAAGTTACAATTTTAATAGCAACAGATACACCAGTTCGACGAACTCTACGAAACCCACCATCGGCATCCCCGTTGCGGATAGCGGGGTGGGCAACGACCAGTAAAGGATTGTATGGCAGAGTTAAGCGTGGCAATGTGTACAATTCTGAATCGCTGCGACGTCCTAGTAATCATGTCAGGAACCTCGAAACGATAGACTACGGAGGTAATCGTATTCGGGGTATGGGAAAACCTTATAATATTCAAGATACTTCCGTATAAGAAAAAGATATTCTGGCTGCCAGAGTAGACGGAATTAATGAAAGAGCCCATTTATCAGTCCGTAAGTAAAACAACTTGTCATTATATCATCTACTGTTCTACAGACGATGGCAGCTGAGTATAGAAGAAAATGGCAATTAGGCTACGACAAAGTGTAGTATGCATAATTGGACTTATAGAAATAGTCAGCGTCACTGGACTACAGGTATATATTTCGCAACATGCAGGAATCGGTACATACAACAGAACTGCCATTATGTAGAAAAAAGTCATGACCTTATGTCCACCGGTAGCTACCGCAAATGACAGCCTTCCAATCTTGATTCTCCATTAGTTGAAGTGCATGGGCAGAATTTAGTGACCAGTATATAAAGATGGTTTCACGTGCAATTATCATTTTCATTCAAATTCTACGAACAAAGCAATTAACGAAACACAGTTGCACATATAACTTCATTTAAGTACAATTCTGAACCATAAATGAATAGTTTCTTTGGCGAGTTGTAGTCATACCGAAAGCATAACTAAATCTTTTATCTGTCAAGTGAGTTGGCAACGAATTTACCATTGACTGCATCGTAAACAAGACCTGCCACTTGTCAGAACAAGCTCATTCCACATTACGAATGAGCAACGTTATTACCGCAAGCACAACAAACAAAGAAATATCACGTTCACTATTTACAAAATTGTATAAAATTGGTATATCCATTTGCTGCACAAATCATAGCATGTGAAAATGGAAATAGCTCTGTATGGACGATCAGCAATTTGCTAGAAGCGCAGCTCCACGAAGCAAATCCATCGCGGGGCATCTAGTTGAACATGCGTCTTCACGCATAGAAGATGACTCGTGTTTTCGAAACCGTTTACGCCGTATAGTGCCATATAACAAAACTTATATAAATGACGATGAAATTTTATTGATACTTCAACCAACCGTTCACGGATTTCCTTCGAAACGAAATTTGTAAGTATTCTGTCAGTCATCAGTATTTAAATAAGAATATTACTCAAGTAGACAGATGTATTATCGTTTTAAATACGCATCTGCATACGTATTTAAAGATGCATACCATAAGCATATAACCCCATCATCGTGCTTCGCAGTTATCGCTTACCGGTGCATCTCGGGTAATTGCATTTTTTAGACTAGTCTTATTTCTAAGTTTCGTCAACATCAAAAACAGAGGGTCATGCACAGTCAGCATGTTATTATCGGCACAGCTCCATAAACTTGGTTCATGAGTTCAAACGGTTCAGGTTACACTGCCTAGGGTTCAAAGCGATGATCCGCAGGGCTCAGTAGCTAGGAGCCATGCTAGAATTTGCCTCAGAGGTGAGTGTAGACCTTAGAGTAGTATGGAGTGATGCAATACCGCCATGTACGTATGACGCAATTTCGAATCATCATAAAATTAGTTGCTGTTCCACTTAAAATTACCTGTTGTTATCAGCGCAGATGGCATAATTTGCAATTCATTTCTCACCGTAATTTCTGGTCTCCAGGTACTTTTGCTGCCATGAATGAACGCCCACTGTTCGATGTCGTCCTTCCAGCAACTTCCTGATCTTCCCACTGTTCTCAACACGGGAGTAAATTTTTACAGCATCATTTTCCCCAAGCAATGGTTCTTCGTTGCTGCCAATAGCAAACTCGAAAGATCGTAATTCCTACTACCATATGCTTCCAAAGAACAGAGCTTCAGTACAAAGTTTTTGAAATCGGTTTTTATTGCATTCAAATTCTTTGCAAGTGATTCACAAAACTCTCACGCACCGCCGCATTTCGAACGATTTACTGGGTTCTGTCTGATGAGTGACTTTCAGTTGAAAACTTGAATTAACCATATGCGATGATTTGCTGATTCTCAGCTTGTTGAAATCTCTGATACAGCGACTTTTACAGTACTTAGTAAGACTTTGAGATAATGTGTACATAAACATAATTGTATCTCTTTCATAGCCAGTAATGAGAACATTGAACGGTATTGGGTCAAGCAGAACGACATTCGAAACGCGATTGCTTAAGTCCCTCCAGCTGCTAGGTGCATCTCTATTGAATAAGCAGAATCAGTTTTGGGAAAAATGACTAGACCCACAGTATACCCTAAGGAATGGCCTACGATGAGTGTTAGAACGAAGTTTTACTGTATTAGGTACTTATGACGAATCAAACATGCGCAGCGCTATGACTGATAATAAGTTGTTTCGCAACACGTGACCATTTGTTCGGTAGGACAAACACATGCCTGAACATCAATGAACCTATCTCAGTCTTTTGGCATATATACAATAAATAAAACCCAGGTCTAATGAGTTTGCCAGCTAGCTGCCAGTTTTCAAAGCCACCGGTCGCAAGAATGACGTTCTAGACCAAGAGACCTTCTGAGCAGGCTACGGATGCATGGCAGTTTAACACTAGCAAAACATCACAGAATGTTTCAGAATGATTCTTACTGGCGGTATCGTAAGCCCATTATATCGGGGTTTCTTTTGGGTATGGGCCCTCGGCCTACGGTATATTCGTTGGTGTTCGAGCATGTACTTATCCGATGCTACAGTTTTCCACCCATGCAGCGCAGATGCTAAAACGGAATGCTTGGCAATAAACGTGCCAATTTCTAGTTTCGAAGGATTGCAGTCTATTATATTTCCGGCACTGAAAATAAACCCGATTTAAAAGAATTTGATTATTGTTTTGTTATAGCACTCCGGCATACCATTATGATCCACAAATCAGCATACCAGATTTGCTGCTTCCATTAATTCACTAATCGATTAATTAATTTCGAAACAAGAATTATTTTCGTTCGCGAGTGAAACAAAATTGGTTGAGATGGCAGAAGCAAGAGGTTGACTTATATATCACAGCGATCGTTTGAATACTGAAGTAATAAACTTGAATTTATAATGCAACCGCAAGGGTTTGTGAAGTCAGATCTTCATTTTGCACGATTTGAGGCATGCTGTTTTTGGCGCTGTCATCACTATGCCCTATACTCAAGGAAGAAAAATCAGAATTGTCCACAATAACGATTCCTGACCTTAAAACTGCCTCAGGTTAATGTAAGCGTTCTTGACGTGAGAGCTATTCATCGTTACAAACAGTCCTGCTAGTGAATAATTTAATAATATGATCAATAAACCAATGCTACGCACCCACACCAGGACCAGGTTTCCGTAAATGTGTGGCTGACATTGAAAAACCTGTTGTTGTTAATCTATAATCAGCCTTATACCATATCAATGGTATACGCAGATCTTTGAGAACACGAGAGAGAACACGTAATGGTGACACTGACCCAGAATCCAAGCCCATTCCTTAAGATGCGAACATAATTCCAATCGCAAACAAATGAACAGAAGTGACTGTGATGAAGAGAGACTTGGAAAAATTAAATAATCTCGACCTATTTTGCAGGCCAAGGCAAGAACTACAACTGCTGAGTTGACATCTGTCTTGCACAAAAGTCTTTACCGCGATTCATTTTATTCTCTTTTGTCGTTTTATTCTTAAACCGCACCCATTTCCACTATCTTCACCTAACCCTTCACCAGTTGAGTTTCCATTTTCGTTGTACATTTCCAGTATCCTACTTTTATTATACTCCTTTTATCTTTTATCTCCTTTTACCTTTTATCTCCAATATATTTATATTTATTCCTTGCCATTTTGGTTTTATCTTTGTTTAACTGTAAAATATGTCATGAAATACCCTAGTGGTGGCTTCTAC